GGGCCCTAAATCAGAATAATGGGGGGACCTAATGTCCTCCCCCCTGGCCCCCACCCCTGAGCGGTGGGTGGGGAGACTAAATACTAATAAGGGTGGACCTAATGTTCTCCCCCTGGCCCCCACCCCTGAGCGGTGGGTGGGGGCCCTAAATTGGAATAAGGGGGGGGGAAACCTAATGTCCCCACCCCTGAGCGGTGGGTGGGGGCCCTATATACTAATAAGGGGGGGACCTCATGTCCTTCCCCCTGGCCCCCACCCCTGAACAGTGGGTGGGAGCCCTAAATACTAATATGGGGGGGGGGACCTAATGCTGCTCACTGTAAAAAAACCTCTCCCAAGCCCACACCCGCGACGTGCGAGTGGGGGCTTTTTGCCCCCCCGGCCCCCACCCCTGAGCGGCAGATGGGAGCCCTAAATCAGAATAAGGGGGGGACCTAATGTCCTCCCCCTGGCCCCCACCCCTGAGTGGTGGGTGTGGGCCCTAAATACTAATGGGGGGAAACAGAAAAAATCAGAGCTAAACTGCCACACAGGAAAATAATAGAACGGCTGCACTCCTCAAAGGGGAGTCCCCTCTAATCACCTAGTAGTAAGATAAAACTCAAAAAAACACAATAAAATAAGGGTGCGCCTAAAATATATAACAAAATATAGATTGAGTTATATGTAATAAAATATTGAAATTTAATATAAAATGAATAGTTAGAAGTAGTCCAAATAACTTATCATAAGTCCAAAATGATAGGTTCCACGTGTGGAAAAGGATTCTTGGGATGTAGAATGAAGTAAATCTTCATGGTTGTATGCTTGGAATTCAGTGGGGCATATGTAAAAACAAGAAAGACAAGAACAGGAATCCAATGGCACAGTATATAGATGAATAAAATTATAAAGTAGTAATAATAGTATTACTCACACTTTTCAGAGCTAAAATCCAGCTCTGATATTGTGCGCGTGAAGTGGAATAATCCCCACTCAAGGATATACAGAGTAATATTTGGTTGGTGAATCAGAGGACACCGGTCCACCATAACTACAGCATTCAGAGACCAACGCAGTGACAAACCGGTTGCTAAGCATTTTTTGCAAATGGAACATAGACTTCCAACTTTACGTTTTATGGCCATTGACCATATCCCTCCGATGCCTACAGGCGATAAATCGAAGATGCTATTACAACAGGAGGAACAATGGATCCACCGTTTAGACACAGTAACACCGAAAGGACTCAATGAAAACATTGTTTTTTCCATGTTTCTCTAATTTAGTTATTTATTCATTCAAAGAGTCCGTTTATTTTTCCGAATGTATTTTTATCTAGATTTTTTTCGCTCTTTATTTCTATTTTTTTCATTTTTTAGTATTTAAATTTTTTTATTATTTTTATTTATTCCACAGTCTCCATTCTATATTATCATTATCTTTATTTTTCAATATTTAGTTATTATCCCTGTGTACTACAGATTATTTTAGCAATCTTGTTCATTCTAAATAGTTAAATCTTGCTTAATTGAATGTGTCTTATTAATATATGATACACATCCCTGCACCCTCTTTCTACGAATATAATGATACCATTAAATTTCTGGTTCTACATTAGTTGATACCCTTAGTCTCCTTAGTACTTCTAGTATTTATATACTATTTACAGATACAAATCTTGTTATTTATACTACTTTTGGATTTATCTGAAACTTCTCTCTCCATGGATATATCTCTTATGTATTTATGTATCACATACCTTAATAGCTATATGTGGTCTTTCCTCAAATTAATGTGTACAAAATAGTATTTATTAATCTTGGAATCTTCCTTTGGTATTTGAAATGTTTTTAATGTATGCAT